GATAGGATAAAAAAATCGAATGATAGAAAGTTGACAGGATTGAAAGTTTGAGTGATAGACAAAACATTATGTTTGGTAAAAAAAGAAAATAGGAAAAATAAAAAAGTGGATGAATAAATTTTTCTTCCAATTCACCAAAATCAATCTCTTTAAAATTAGAAGGAAAATGAATAAAAAATTAATTATTTATGTTGAAAATGTATCTTATTTGTTTACGAATCATAACCAGTGTCTAAAGAGATGATGAAACATAAAATTCAAACACTCAAAAAATCGATCTCATTGTATTAAAATTTTTCAACATGTGTATACTATTGTATATGGATAATGTTTGAAATATTATGTTAAATTACAAATTAATCAAATATTAAATGATTGGACATGTGATAAAAATAAGTGATATTATATTTTTATTAAATAACACTTTTTTTCCATTTTACCAAGCAAAACAAAATTAATTATTTTTATTTTTCATCCATTTTATCAAATACAAAAAAATATATATATAAATTATTTTTTTTTTAAAAGGATAAAAAATATAAGTGTGCTATTTTTACGTTTTTATCCTTCTATTAAACGGAAGATAAGTGCACAGATGATATTCAATAAAAAAAAAAGTGATAGTGCCCTATTAAATATGGATATCCCCTCTGAATGGTGGAGCCACTCAAAAAGAATGACATGTTTTTTCCTCCAACAATTATGGGGAAGCGAAACTATTTATGACATCTTAACATCTCCATGTAAATTGTACAAAAAGACAAAGGAATAAAGTTGCCCTTGATTGGACATCACCTCCTTAAATTTTGTTTTTGGTTGGTTACATCGTATCTTTAATACATGTCCTATGGCTATCGCATGTGGGGATATTCAGATTTTGATAACAACCGGCACAGAGGAAGATATAATTTATTACTCATTTCCTTCTTAAATATCTATGATTTAAAATTTTTACACAAAAATTAAAAAAATTATTAAATAACTCTAATATGAGTAATAAATAATTGTACAAGATTAAAATACTCTTATTCAATACATATTGAAAAGAAAAGAAATATGAAAGACATTTAGGCTACACTTAATTTATTAAGCACTTATTGAAAAACATAGATAAGAGTAAATTTTGAAGAAAAAATATTAATTATTCTTTAATTTCATTAAACGACAGATATTGTGGAACAAAAAAATTGTATAAAACGACAGATATTTAGGAACGGTAGAAATATCAAAATACAACACTTTTCAAATAAAAATATCAATTTATTATACTTTTAAATTTATTTATCGATCTACGACAATTTTTAAAAGCGCAATTAATAATTCCACTTTCACCATATAAACGGAACAACAAGACTGCTTTTAATACTTATATAAATATTTTTTTCCGTTTTTGTTATATCACTTATTGAAAGCAGAATTATTGATTCCGTTTTCAAAACTGAATCATGTTAAAAGGAGAATCAATAATTTCGCTTTCACCATGAAAGCGGAATTGTTAAACTGCCATAAATCGATAAATAAGTTTAGGAGTGTGATAGATCGGTATTTTTGTTTGAAAAGTACTGTATTGAAATTGAAAATGAAACTTGGGTGGATTAACTCGGAATCATTCATTCCGAGAATAATCAGAAGATTCAGCAATTGCATATAGATTCTTTTTACTTGCCCTGCGTTTGAGGAAAAAATTGTGATACATTGGAATTTTAGATAGAACACATGTTGAGATTAATTTAGATTTTGAGAACCCAATTCAAACTTTATCTAAATTAAACCTTCATTTAGTTTGAAATTATCTAATTAAATGCGAATTGAAGTTGAATTTTTTTTAATGAATCTCAATTTTATCCTGACAAAGAATTTAAGCATGAAGAATACTTGAGTTGAAGGATAAGAGCCGGACTATCGGACATTATTGCGCCGTTTGTTATGATGGAAAAATAGAAGGATGAAAAGTTAGAGGGATAAATAAAATATCATGTTTGGTAAGGAAGAAAAATAAGAAGGATGGAAAAGAAGATGGATTAATTTTCTTTCCAACTCACCAAAATCAATCCCTCCAAAATCGAAAATAAAGTTGATGAAAAATTAATTATTTGTTCTGATATGTTTCTTATTTGTCTATATATCTTTTTATATATACATATATTATATATACATTAATTTCATATAAAAATATAATAATAAAATATGTATTTATATATATTTTTTTAAAAATAAAAAATAAAAATTCAACTATTCAACTATCCTACTTTCTATCATTCCTAAACATATGTGTTTGTAACATTCAACTATTCTTAAATTATACAAATAGCAATGGGATTTTAACTCTAATGTAGGCCTCGTACACCCTACCTTTATCAATAGGATAAATTACACCGTTAGTCCTTAAGGTTTGCCATGTGTTGCACTTTCGTCCTTAAAGTTTTAATTTCATTAATTTTATCCCCAAAGTTTAAACTTTTAGGTAATGTGGTCCTTCCGGCTAACTGCTGTTAAAAAAATGGACATAAAATGTCATGTCCCCAACACATGCTGCTCTTTAGGGGCATTTATGGATTTTATAATAATCGATGATTCAAACACAATTGTTCTCTATTTAAACAATATTAAACATGAAACCCAACATGAGTGTGTCCCTTTCTCTATTTACTCAACAATCTCCCTCAAACCCACCAATTCCCCTCTATATATCTCTCCAATTTCAATCCCTACATATTCAAACAATTTTTTTCACTCTCTACATATTCAAACTCTCTCTCTGCTTACTCAACTCTCTCCCTCTCTTTGTGCACAAATCACACACGTCTGCAACACATACACACAAATCCCTCTCAAAATTCTCTTTCTTTGTGCACATAACACATCACATTGCAACTTACCCAATTAAGCCAATTATATGAGAACCAACAGCACCCAGCCGACTATAATCAAAACTCGTAATTCAAACTAATTCAATATCTAATCACAAAATCTCAAGGGAAATTGAAATCGAAAATTTAAGAAAAGTTAACAATCAAATCAAAATTAAAATAAATTATGGCTTATTGGGTTGGGGTAGTTTGTTCGGAGGTGGGATTTGGGTAGAAGGGCAGAAATTGGAGTTGGAGTGGTGAAGATCTATTTTGTGGTGTAGGGTGGAGTCTTCCTGGTGGCAATGGAAGGTGTAGGCAGAGTGGGGGCGGATTAGGGTGTTGCGCCATCAATGAGAGAAAACACATAACTAGGAGAGGGGCGTGGGGAAGGGTTGAAAGGTGGAGGGGTTTGCGCAAGTTGAGAGAGAGAGTTGGTTGGTAACCATGGTTGTAGGAGGCATCGATGGTTACAGAGAGAGAGAAAGGAACAAAGAGATATGGAAGAGACTTGAGTTTCTCCAATTTTTTACTTTTTTTTAGGCCTGTGGAATTATTCATTGTTTTATGGATAAATTGCGGTTGTGGTCCCCAAAGTATTTATGTTGTCTCATTTTGGTTCCCAACATTTTAATTTCATCAAATTGGTCTCCAAAGTACTACATTTGCACTTACCTAGTCCCCGCAGTTGAAGCCGTCTAGATTTCCATCTATTCATAGTCATGTGCCATCCACATGACCCAGCTGAGGGGCTATAATGTCATTTACCCTCCTCCTATTACTAGAGGGAAACATTCCTGCCATCAGGTATATCTACAAGACTCATTGTCTGTTACAGAGCATAGGAGAAGAGAAAATGAGGGGAAGAGAAGGAAAGGCAGTAGCGGCTGGAATGCTAGCAACACCATGCTGCTGTAGAAAAATAGCCAAACTGAGGGCCTCATGGACCGATACCAACCCAGGAAGAAGGTTAATTGGATGTGAAAGATATGAGGTAACAAAATGTTCTGGATTTTGTTACTGAGTTTTCTATTTTGAATGCATTTAACAAAATGTTGCATTTGTAGGAGGCTGGAGGGTGTGGATTTTTTGCTTGGTATGATCCGCCAATGTGCGATAGAGCGTAGCAAGTGATACCCGGATTGTTGCGATCAAAGCAAAGATAGGAGAACCAACAACAAAAGGCAAAAGCTAGGGAAAAATTATTATGGGTTGTTATGTTCTGTTCTTGGACATTTTTTATTTTCACTTGGGTATGGCATTTCCTGTAGGTAGTAGTGCCCTGTTTGTCTGTGGAGGGTGCCCTGTTTGTCTATGGAAGCTGCCCTGTTTTTGTGTAAGAGGGTGCTCTATTTTTGTGTTGAAGGGTACCCTGTTTTTGTGTAGGATGGTGCCTTGTGAAAGTGGCATTTTATGTAAATGTAATTATTATGTTTGATGTAATTGGAAGTGTAACAACCTGTTTGCATCAAAATTATCTGTTAAGTGTTAGGTATTTTTCAATAGTCGCGAACTTATGAGTTTGAATGTGCCTTGTTTGCTCCCATGTCATTCTCGATTAATCATGACTACTACCAATGCAGAAAAGCCACAGCCCATGATTTTCATTAAGGTAATAACCTGTTAGTTGTGACAAAAAGATGTCCATAATTACAAGTTCGTCTCTCAATACAAACCCAAAATGAGAGCAAGAAAGAGTACATTTACATCACAAACCCAAAAGATAGCAACACATTTACATATAAGCCAGATTTAGATTCTCATCACAAACCCAACAGAGAGCAACACATTTACATTGGCTCCAAAAAAAAAAAAAGAGAAGCTGCATGGGTGCTTGTTCATTTGCTCCCCCTGAATGGTATTTTATCCCTTCACGTACGAACCAATGGTTGAACCTTGAAGCTATATAGAGAAAAAGGTAAGATATGAGCCAATGTTTTTCAATGAAATTGTTTACTACTTGCCAAAAAGTCCAAAAAGTTCAATGAAATTATTTACCTGTTCAAAGCAAGACCTTCCTTTCACAGCAACTTGGCTCCCTCCACCTTGGCTCACAGCAGATTGGCTCACTCCAACTTGGATAACAGTAGCTTGGCTCCCTCCACCTTGGCTCACAGCAGGTTGACTCACTCCAGCTTGGATAATAGCAGCTTAGCTCCTTCCACCTTGACTCACATCATATTGGCTCACAGCAGGTTGACTCACTCTAGCTTGGATAACAGCAGCTTGGCTCCCTTCACCTTGGCTCACAACAAATTGGCTCACTTCACCGTGGTTTCCTTTTGGCAGTATAATAGTAGAAGTCCTCCTGTTATGCCCATTTTGACCACATCTCCTACAATTAACTGATACATTTCCACATTTCATCAACTTGTGTGGTTGTCAGCGCATAGTACTGTTAAGAACCATGCCCATAATTCTTTCATCTCAATCTCAACAATACAATAGACAATGTGAAACATAGAATCATTGGCATCAATCCTAACATCAGTCAACAATTGTCCACTATATGCCCCTTTCAGGTGGCAACCATCTAATCCAATCACTTTCCTGCACCCTTGAAGAAATTCACTCTTACATGCTGCAAGACATACATAAAACCTCTAAAATATAAGTTCACTATTTTCCTCATCACCAGGTGCATCCAAGATAATTGTGGAACCAGGGTTAGTCCTCCTTAGTACCTCACAGTAATCTCACAATCTACCATATTGTTCAATTTCATCACCATGTATCAACAACATTGCCTTTTTCTTTGCTCTATACAATTGATTCCTTGATACAACAACATGAAAATCTCTCCTAACTCTCTTTTAAAAGCTTTTATAGGCCAACAAGGGTTGGCCCTTAGGTCATCCATATACTTCAATGCTATCATTTTTGAGGTGACATTTCTGTTATTATAAGTTTTCCCACATGTATGTTTACCAATGTATGTCTTTATTTGATATGTTTTCTCACCATGCACTCTACAAGCATAAACCAGCCAACTGCAACCCCCTTCACATTTTGCCCTCACCCTCCTCTTATCATTTTTTACTAATTTCACATTTCTCTGATGTTTGATAGCATGTTGTCTAATGGCATTCTTGATCTCTTCAGATGTACTAAATAACATACTCAATTTAAAATGTGGGTCTTCCTCATTATTTTCTGTCCTAAAAACTTCAAATTTTTTATGTTTTCTTGCATGATTCTCTCCATCAGATGAACTGAAGCAGCTTAAAATCTCCTCAGAATCACCATCTGTATCATTGAGTTCTAACTGTTGCCTATTGTCTATTGCTGATTCTTTCTGCCTATTACTATTCAAACCAGTCCATTCAGCTTCATTATCAACATAACTATCATACGACATGTTATCATTCTCACTTTCATAATCACTGTCAACCAGCGTATCATACTCATTACATTCACTAGATTCATAATCAGGTTTGTATTTACTGTCTGATGTATCAGACTCTGATACTACCATTTTCCCTTTATCAACTGAGACATCAACATCAACCTGATAATTCTCCATTGTGACTGTTGTATAATAAGATCTTGTTCAAGGACCACATTAACTATAAAATATTGCAACTAACACATTAACTATCACTAAACAGTTTCCAATGCATAAACAATGGTTTTCAAGGACCACATCAACTTAAAAAAATTGCAACTTATACAAACTATTAACAAAGAGTTTCCAATGCATAAACACGTGGTTTCGAACAAACACATAAACTATATAATATTGAATACCGACTTTTACAAATCATTCTTACCCATGAACCTTAGACTTAAATCTATAAGAATGAGTACATACCATAATGGGGAATGTCTTCATCTGCATATTGATTTCCAGTCTTCCATCGTTTGGAACGTACCATCTTTGTGCTTTGCCATAATGGTCTTCTGTTTTGCCCTAATGGTGATCGTGTTTTGCCCTAATCGTGATTTGCCCAACTGAAGCTCTGGTTTGCAAAACAAGTGAATGAAGACATCGAAGAGTCTCCTGATCAACTTCCCTCCAGTAATAGGAGGAGGGGTAAATGACATTATAGCCCCTCAGCTGCGTCATGTGGATGACACATGACTATGAATAGACAGAAATTTGGACGGCTTCAACGACGGGGACTAGGAAAGTGCAAATGTAATACTTTGGGGACCAATTTGATGAAATTAGAAGGTTGGGGACCAAAATGAGACAACATAAATACTTTGGGGACCACAGCCGCAATTAATCCTTGTTTTATTTAGTATATTTATTATATTACATTCATACCCTTTGTTTTTATCATATAAAGACATAAATTCCCTGTAATTGTACCACGTGTTTGGCATATGCTATTTTCCGTCCTTGATTTGGACGACAATTAGTGCGAGGAACCACATCGGGTCAATGTGTAAACTTTGGAAACGAAATTGACGAAATTGAAACTTTAAGGACCAAAGTGCAATGAATAGTTAACCTTAGGGACTATTGGTACAATTTACCCTTCAATCAACACATAAACACACTCTCTAATATCAAACAATCTCATCAATCCACACCTACCTCTTTTTTTCTCAATTCATTTTAATTTTATATTGCATATTCAATGTTCAATTTTTGGTATTGCGTAATGTCTTCATGCACGGAGTTATTGCTAGTTTATATATAATATGGGTCAAAAAAGGGTAGATCCTTTTTTTTTTTTTTTTTTGAGAAGACGTGATGAGATAATTTTACTAATTAGAAGATATCCATCATTCTTGAGGGGAGTTAATAAGAAAGTAGGACACTCATCCCTCCATATACAATAATCTGAACAAGAGACAACATACTTAGCAAGACAAAGAACATTAGAATTTCCGTCCATATATATACCCAGGGAGCTAAGAAGTTGATGAACTTTTTTGCAAACAATAGAATATGATCTAGAAAATGGCCAAAGTTAGACAGTCTCATTTATCATGAATTCACTGCATCAATAATGATCTTAGAATCTCCTTCCCAAACAATCTATTGAAACTTTTCTTTCACTGCCAAGGTAATTGCAATTGATGCCGCCATAGACTTCACACTGTAATCACTTAGGACTCCTTCAATCTTCTTGCACACTCCCAACACAAACCTACCTTCAACATCCTGGACAATGGTGCCGATACCAGAGCAGCCTTTTTTTCCAAAAGCAACCCCATCGAAATTAATCTTCACCTTTCTTGGGCAAGGAGGAAACCATCGACAATTTGTTCGATCACTTACAAGTTGCTGTGGTCCAGAAACTTGCCTTGACATTAACCAAAATTGTTCAAGGTAAAGTAGTGGGTGTTGGAAAAAAGTGATTTTAAACAAGTTTATTTGAGCAACTTAACGTTTAAATAAAAGTGGGACTCACATCTCAAAATTAGTGAGACCGAATTTAAACGTGTTCTCCTCTAGGAGGAGATGAATTGTTTAAACGCATTCTCCTCTACGAGGAGATGAACTTGTACATTTATTTGTTTGAAACCATTAAGTATTGAATGAGAAATTATATCTTAAAGTGACTCATTTGAAATGATGAAATAAACTAAGATTGATTTAGTAGAATAAGACTTGTCCCACATTAAAAAAAGAAAAATAACACTTTAGTGAGTTAATATATTCCTAGTTGGATTCATGGATAGGGCCCCCAGGGGTACCACACTTTTGTGAGTCAAGCGAGCGCATACACTATCTTGGTTACCACACAAGTACCGCCTGTCTCACCTCACCTCCCGACCCGACCCAGTTGGGCTTGGAAAAAACAAATTTTTTTTGTACAAAATCTAGTTGGTGCAGTGCGGGTTGTAAGTCAAACCAATTAGATCCAAACGTGAGTCATAATTAAATTTTCAACCGAAATTCAAAATCAAAACAGAGTTTTAAAATTTCTGCCCATTAGTTTTAATTTGGCGCTAAAATTGGGTCTAGTTCATTCTAGAGGGTCTGTTCACTTCAGAGGTGTCTTTTGCTTGTTCAAATTAAAATAGTGTGTCTCTTCAATCCTAACAGTGGCATGCCATCTTCAAAGTTGGCAAGAACATCTTTCAAATTAGTTGAAAGAAGTATTGCACCTCTAGAATTAATTCACAGTGATGTCTGTGATTTAAAATTTGTGCAAAATAGAGGTGGTAAAAAGTATTTTATTACATTTCTTGACGATTGCACGAGATACTATTGTGTTTATTTAATTAGAAGTAAATGTGAGATAATTGATATGTTCAAGTATTATAAAAATAAGATTAAGAATCAATTTAACAGAAAAATTAAGTCATTAAGAAGTGATAGGGGAAGTGAATATGAATCTTCTTTTGTGGAATTTTGTTCAACACATGAAATTAATTACCAAACTACTGCCCTTTATTCACAGCAATCAAATAGCGTAGCTGAACGCAAAAATTGAACATTGAAAGAAATGATGAATGTTATGTTTTTAAGTTCAGCTACACCCCAAAACCTTTTTGTTTTTGGGGGGGGGGGAACCTTAATATTTGCTAATTATATTTTTAACAAAGTGTCTCATAAGAAAACAAATAAGACACCTTATGAATTATGTAAATGTCGAAAACCTTCCTACAAATACTTAAAAGTGTGGAGGTGTCTAGCGAAACTGGCAATTCCTAAACCTAAAAGAGTTTAGAGGGGACCTAAAATTATTGATTGTTTATGCATTAGTTTTGTCCATAACAGTTGTGCATAGCGATTTCTTGTTCATAAATCTAATATTTTTTATGTGCATATTAATACAATTATTGAATCAAGAAATGCTTCATTTTTTGAAAATAATTTTTCATTTAATATGTTACATGAATCAAGCTCATTAAAAAGACCAATTTATGCTATGACTAGTAATGGTCAAGTCAATACTGACAAGAAGTTCATAGAAAATGAACCTAGATGCATCGAAAGGACAAAGACGTCAATGTTGTTTGGTCATGATTTTCTAACTTATATATTAGAGAATGATCCTCAAAGTTTCAATGAAGTTATATCCTCCCAGAAGCTCCTTATTGGAAGTAAATTGTTAATTCTGAAATTGAATCCATACGTGGGAATTAGTGGATCTTCCACTAGATAATAAACCTTTAGGCTGTAAATGGATCTTTTAAAAAATAAAATCAATGGATCCATTGACAAGTATAAAGCTAGACTTATAGCCAAAAGATATAAACAAAGGAAAGGATTAGATTATTTCGACACTTATTCATCAGCTACTAGAATAACATCTATATGGATGTTAATTGCTATAGCTGCATTAAATGGTCTTGACTTACATCAAATAGATGTAAAGACATCATTCTTAAATGATAAATTAGATGAAAAAATATACATGAAACAACCTGAAGGGATCATTGCTAATGGACAATAAAAGAAAGTATACAAACTTGTTAAATCTCTTTATGGTTTAAAGCAAACACCAAAGCAGTGGCATGAGAAATTTAACAAAGCAATGTTGTCAAATAAGTTTCAAATAAATGAGTGTGATAAATGTGTTTATATCAAGAGCACTTATAGTGGATATGTTATTGTATATCTTTGTGTAGACGATATGCCAATTTTATGCAACAATAATGATGTCATTAAAACTATCAAACGAATGTTGACCAATAGGTTTGAAATGAAAGACCTAGGTATTGTTGATGTTATATTAGGAATTAAAATTTCTAGAACATTAGATGATCTCACGTTATCTTAATCTCACTATATTGATAAAGTACTTGATAAATTCAAGAAGTATGAGATAAAACTTATGAGAACACTTGTTGATTTTAATATCCATCTCTCTAAGAATAATGACGAAAGCATATCTCAATTAGAATATGCACTTAGAATTGGTAGTTTAACGTACATCATGAATTGTACTTGTCTCGATATACTATACTATGTGAGTAAACTAAGTCCATATACAAGTAATCATGGAAAAGGCCACCGTAAAGCAATAATTAGGGTGTTGGGATATTTAAAATATACTCAAACTTATGGTTTACATTTCATAAAATCCCCAGCTGAACTCAAAGGATATACCGATGCTAACTAGATATCTGATACTAAAGATTTAAAATCTACAAGTGGATATGTTTTTAACTTTGATAGTGCAACAGTGTCTTGAAAATCCTCAAAGCAAACATAAATAACTATATTTACAATGGAATCTGAATTCATTGCTTGGATAAAGCTAGAGAAGAAGTAGAATGACTTCGTAACTTCTTAAAGGATATTCCAAATTAACCAAAGCATGTGGTAGCAATATGTATACATTGTGATAGCCAATCTATGATTGGAAGGGGTATATAATTGTATGTATAACAGTAAGTTCCAACACATACGTCGTAGACATAATACCTTTAGACTATTGTTCTCTGATGGTATTATATTCATTGATTACGTGAAGTCAAATGATAATATCATGGATGCGCTTACAAAAGGTTTGAATAGAGAGCAAGTAGAAAGTTCATCAAGGGGAATGGGCTTAAAACATATTACTTAACTAAAAGTCACCATAATGACAACCCAACTTAGCCAACTAGAGATCCCAAGATCTAAGTTCAAAGGGACAACCGAATTTTGTATAATTTAGAATACAATGAGGAGGTTTTTTAACTCATTCCCATTTCTATGGTGAGACAGTGCACACCTATCATGAGAATTAGGGTAAGTTACGCTTTTAATGATGTTTTGTGACTTGGAAGAATTCAAGTAGGATATAGCAGGATACTCTTAATCAGAAATCACCTACGTGAGTAAAAAGGGGTCACTTCTATGAGAATTGTATGTTGATTAC